GGAACCATCTAAATGTGTCTTACACAGGCAGAGCCCAGCCAGCAGCTGCCAAGGGATAGCTTACATAAGGCAGATGAGGCAGTGTTGTGTGCCACCTCGTGTTTTCTCCGGGATCCACATTTTGGAGCAATGACATTTTGTCCTCGGGTACTCAGCCACAGCAGGAGGAAGAGTTCTTGTGCTCTTTTTGTTCTCCCATCCAAATTTAGCATCGGTCATTGTGACAGAGCAGCTACTAGATGTGCACGGGGGTGAACGAAATAACCAAGATGTCCCAGCACTGTCACTTCACCTTGCTCCATGGCCTGATTTTAGAGCAAGGGAGCAGGAATCGTCTCGGAGGAGGTGCTGCAGCAGCCACACCACGGCCTGCAGCCCCAGGTGCCTGTGGGCACCTCTCCTTGCTGCGTAATTTGTGTTGACCAACAGCAGAATTCCAAGTACTGTCTAAATCAAAGCAACTAACACAAGGGCTTCACATCTGTCAAGAGGCAACAAGTCACCCTGCACCAATGCACATGCTGTATACAACAAAATGAGTGTCGGAGGACAATGCATCAGGTGCTCATTTTGACATCCACCGCAGCAGCATGTTAAACATGATAATCCCAAAACGATGGGCATCGGACAAGCACGGATGCAGGGACCTTCCCAAGCCCTAATAACAAGCACTGCAGACCTGCCTCACAACTGCAAGCTTTAATTCCCACCACGTACTGTCATTGTGTCCACAGATACTCTGTTCGCCAGCCAAAACTTGTTTACTAGGAATCAGAACTTTATCCAAACCTGAGTTTCCTGCCATATGAGTGTGGTTATTTCTTTGAACCAGGACTTTGGCTAAAGGAATTGAGCCTGAAGAGCTCCTGCAGGGATAAAAAATGAATGTACTTTTCAACTCTGGGGCTTAAGTAACCTCCCTGCAGCTCATCTGTTTCAGAGAGGTGCCACCGGAAACAGACTCTTTGTTTCTGCCTGGGGTGCAGAGAAAAACCTCAAAAATCTTAAAAGAGCACTCTGTTTTAGTCAGTGTGGTCAAGGTACTCAGACATGACACAGCCCAATGCTTTTCTCTTGGGATCAGCGGCTCAAGCCAGGAAGCATCCAAGGATATTTTAAAGACCTTTCTGTAAAGAAGCATGATTTTCTGAAAGCAAAGAGCATTGGTCTCTGTACACAGACATAAACATGCAGTTGCTGCAGTGAAAACAGAAGGTGGCTAGCTGCACAAAAATGTCAGTTTTTTTGCTAAACCAGAATCCTGAGAAAAAGTCTTGCTTTTAACATTTTAGCAACTCCTCTTCAGTCAGGTACCATGGCTAAGGTATTTCTTATGCCATGTTAAGCCAATTATGCAGCCTAATAGTGCAATTAGCCTCCTGCAGTGCAAGCCCTCCCTAGCAGCTGAGCAGCAGTCCTTCGCGACGGTGCAGCATTCTGCAGCGCAGGCGAAGGGCAGCTACTCTGCCCAGTTGGGCAGTGGGCATCTTCAGGTGCATGCACCCCATCTCCTGTTCTTCCTGTGCTCACAAACTGGTTTGGAAAATGACAGGGCACTGACATGTGGGTCAAGAGTTTATCTGGCTTTGGAGTTTCTGCAGACGACACGGGGGCTTCTACTGAGGTGATGCTAGCCACCACTGACTGCACCAAAAGTTCCTCTGAGCTTGCAAAAGGCAAGAACATGCCTTTTGAGTTGTTAAGGTGCAGTGCCTTGAGCAATGCGACCAGTCTGGCCCTAGGGTTCTGGATGCTACCACATTGTAAATGATACTCTTTAGTAATCACAGTATTTCTGCAGGAGCATGTACCCAGAAAGGGTACTCTGTGGCAGAGGAAAGTGCACCAATATTATAAAATGGTGTACGCTGGTGTGGTTAGACTGGATGGGATGATCCAGTCTAATACCCATTGCTGGAACTAAGTCTTGCTATCCCACCTCTGCCAGCACCACACTGCTGCTGCATCCTTTAAGTTCTGGTGTTAAGCAGATGCTAGCCAAACTCAGATTAACCCAGAAGCAGATAGGCGGAAGATAGTTTTCTGCTGGCTTTGTGAGACAAATTGGCACATGCAAAGGTCCAGCAAATGCTAAGGCTGGTATAAGGGTGAGAGGTGACTAAGTAGCAAGACTGTCTGGTTTAGAACAGCTCTGCCAACTCTTGATTCTTTTAAGTATCTTCCTATTACTGATGCAATATAAACAAAAGTACTGGAAAACAATCCAACAGTGCAGCCCACACAGCCCAGTCCTTTGAGTAGGGACATCAACAGAACTGCTGAAGGCATCAGGAGACTAACCAGTCCCTAAGGAATGGAATGAGGTGAATACTCTGGAAACAGTACTGCTCTGTCAGCATATGGGGTATTTCAACGCTCTCAAAAGAAAACACATGGACTAAGATTATAGAACCTGAAACTTGGTCTGAAAAATGCTTGTCAAAATGCTGTGCATGAATATTTCATAATCATCGATTCCAACTTCCAAATAAAGCTTCCTGTAAAGAACCTTTTTCCGATACATGCTGGGGTTAACTTTTCTGGCTTGCACATCACTGCAATAAAGATGTTGCAATGGGAACTCACAGAACACACTTGTCAACAACATATAAATCTGAAGAGATTCCTATTCACTGTGCTACAGATGTACTGGCTTTGCAGGGCCAAATTTGGCAAATGCTTATTTTAAGCAGTAAGCAAACAGACAGGGCACTGAACAAACAGAAGCAGCAGGAACTAGCCACTATTTCAAACCAGAAATGCATCAAGGAGCCTAGGGAACAAGGGCAATAATGTTGTTGCTATTACTTTGTTCAAAGGGAACAAGACAATAATGTTGTTGCTATTACTTTCTGCTTACCACAAGACACCCAATACACAAGAATGCAACAGTCAGAAGAAGAGGAACAAACTTGTGTGCAAAGCAGTAGAAAAATGGAAAATACCCCCTTCCAGCATCAGAGGCTGCAACATACTTATCTAGAATCCCTTCAGCATGTGCTGCCTCCAGGTGTGCTGCTCAGCTCCACCTCCACTGCCCTCCCGTAAATCACGTGCTTGTAAGGAACCAGACCCTTTCACAGGGATCCCCGAATGCATGCTTTATTCCAGGTGATGCCACTTAAAAGTGACATTTTACAAGATCTAAAGAAACCTTAAATGTCACTGTCTGCACCCTTCAGTCTGGCCACATGCCGTAGCTGGGGCTGCTCAACTTTCATGTGACACCTAGACTGCAACAAAACAGTTAGAAAAGATGGCTCAATGACATACAGTTCGTAGTTTTGATCTTCTGTCTCTTGCTGCACTGACAGCTCCTCCAAAGTTGCATCAATATCCAGCTGATTCGTCTCCAGCTGCCGCAGCAACGTCTCCCTCTGAAGAAAGGAAAACAGGCTGGGTCTGAGCAGGCAGAGTCATTGTAACAGATCTCATTGTAACAGGGTGCAGGGAGATCTTGTATCACCACTCTACCCACAGCAAGGTGTTAAACTGGAGCTTTGGTCCCTCTCGCAGTGTTCAATTTAAACACAGAAGCACAAAGGGAAGCAGAAGCAGTAGCAAAAGGATGTTAATCCAGCAAGTCTCTGTGTAAGAAAGCAACTTGTTCTGTGAGCTGTACTCAGCCATAAATCAATAAAGTGTGATTTTCACACACAGCATCTCCAGTTGCATTTGGAGAACAGATTCAACTCCTGTGGAGAACAGTTGTGCAACCCATTCATTCTGATCTTTTATTTTCCTCTGTGCTAAAGAAGTCCCTTTGTGAGTAGGACTCAGCTGATGCAACACCTCACAATAATTTTCTTTTTACTGTCGGGGTAGATGAGTGAGCACAACCTGTCAACTCAGTGAAATTTTAGAAGTCACTGCCCCTCTGCCTTTTGTTGCTGCCCCACAGATGGGGGACAGACACTCCAGTCCATTTCAAATGTGCCATAAAGTGAGTTGGCTTCACTAATATAAAACAGGGTAGCTTAATTCAGTCCTTCCCTTTCCACATTCCCAGCAGAACCCAAGCAGAAACCTCAGCTGAGGGGAAGTGCTGGCTTAAAAGGCTCAAAATCAAATGCAAATGGTCATGGGACACTCCTCCTGATAGTCCGGATGGCAACAAGAAGAGATCAATAACCACACACATTACACTGAAACTTCACAGGCACAGTCAGCTCCAAGGGATCACCCAAATTATGGAGTCAAAAATCATGATGTTCAGTGCCTGGAAGTGTAAATCCTCCCTCTCCCACTGCCTACATACTAGATGGCACAGGAAGCAGGGACGGCTTGTGCTGCGACACATCTGATGACTCTCGGCGCTGCACAGTGCCTGTTAACGCAGGGTCCACCAGTGCCACAGGCTGCCAAGCTACACCACTGCCCAGACAGGAGGAGACTGAAGAGAAACTACAGGTTTCCTCCAAACTGCAAAGGTTTTTGCTTTCACAACTGCCTTAACATCAACATACATTTAACCTTCTACTGTGGCAAATATTTTTGAAGTTTAGTGTCAATAACTATGGTGAATTTTTAATTCTGTATTTGACAACACATATCCTCACTGCAGAAAGATCCCATTAGAGTAAAAAGCACAAAAAGGAAGTCTACTACATAATTTACAGAATAAAATCCCTACGGGAAGAAAAACATTTGTATAAAGCAATGCTGTTCAGTCTCTACATGCCTATACTATTGACAATATAGTTTCATAGACATGACAACTTTGAAGCTATCAAGAGAGTGTAAAAATTTAAAGAGTAAGTAACTTACCTGCCTTATATAAAACACATCACACTACTCTGTCCAAGGGAGTAGTCAGGGCACAGCTTGAGCCCTCCATTGAGCAGGCTGACGTATACCAAATTCTACCATGGCTTAAATCAGCAAGCAAGGCTTAAGTAATTTTTATTTTGTATTATAAGACCAGCAGTTGATAATCTTTAAACATGCTAATTTACTGGAAGATACAGTCTTTCTTGAAATATAAGAGCTTCTACAATCATTTCAACTAATTTATTGCTTCCAAGGCATTTAGATTCTTCATTTTGACCTTTGTCATTGTGTTAAGAGCTTGGAGTGATCCATATTTCCTTTGCTAGGTGATTTTTATTCATCATATTCATAAGCTCTATGCAGATGGAAATTTGACTTCAGTTAACATGTATACAAAGAATTATGAAGTCATTAGTTAACTTGAATTCCCTTTACTGTGGTATACAGACAAGAAAGTTTCAGCAAAACATGCTATACATATTTAAACTTGCTACACTAAACAGAAGTACTAATAGAGATTCTAGATTTCTAGATTGCAAATTCTAGATTTTAGAATTCAAGATTCAAGAAATTCAAGATTTTAGAAGTAATAGATTTCATCCTTTTATGTTATTCATACAGTATAAGCAAAAACGAGACAAAAAAGAGCATGTTTTCTGCTTCTTTGTCCTCAGCTTCCTAAGATGAGTGAAATAAATGCTGAGCAAATTAGCTGAATAAACAGAGACAGAAGGGACACTGCTCTCCAATGCTTACCTTAGGCACTTAGATAATGGTTTTTATTGAACAAGTGGTTTGCCTTTCCTCATACTTTGGCATTAAGACATATACCAGAGGTTTTTTTACTTTAATTTTCAGAGATCACAGTAAATTAAGAACTTAGATTTAATTAAGAGAGTTGCATTTAATTTTGTAAAAATTCATCACTAATAACGGACTTCCCAATACTTAAAAAATAAATTCTATTTTACCATGCTGGTATTAAAATATTAAAGAAACAGCGTATTTTTAGCAATGACCCAAAAGAAGGGAATAAATCATGTGCTACAGACCAATGCTTTGGCTGAATGCCACTTGCAAGTGCTTCCTGGGAAAAGGCAATTTCAGCTGTCTGCAGAATTCTGTCTCCTTCCTGCGCAGCATCCGAAGGCCCGGTTGACCCAATCCCATTTGCACTTTATGTGGGCCACCAGCATGACCTACAGCTAAACTGCATTCTCAGGTTTGACAATCCTTCCCCTGGAAAGGAACTGATAAATAATTGAAGAGCCCTGGCTGCTAGAGGGAACGTGCTCAATACTGGGGATATGAATTTCAGCCACTGCTTTCTCCATGAAAGATACATGAATGTAAGCTGAACACAGAAATGTGCAACTTAAAACCAGCGTACTGAACACCAACCCTGCTAAAGGACAGCCCGGAGTCTTGCACACAGCTGAACAACTCTTCCCCTTGAGAGCTGTAGGAGACTAGGCTGAGGAACACAGAGAAACCTCAGAGATCAACTGAGACTGATTAAATTATATGTGCATTTAATACCTGGTAGCATTCCTCCCATTTAACCCTGTTTTGCTCCAAAGTACCAGGGCAGTAACTCCTTTCTGGAGGTTGTTACTGGCAAGTCTCTCTGAAGGTATAAGCAGAACCTTTAGGAATTAAGTCTAGCTGTGATTTTCCTTACAAATTTTAACATCATGCTGCACTGGTTGTTAATTAGGCCCAGTGGGGCCAGCCCTGCACTCAAAGGCAAGGCTCCCAGCACATCTCCAGGAACAGCAAAACGCCCAGAGCCACCCAGCAGCAGCTACTGCGGAGCAGTATGAAGCTCTTCTAATAAACCTGTGGCACAAATGCAAGTGGCATTGGAAAAAACTAAATGCAGCATATCTTGGCTGAAGTTTGACATCAAGTAAAGTCCCAAAACCTGGGTTGAAGCAACCAAAAGCCTCCAAATTTGCAGTGTCACCCGCCTTGGCACAGAACGGCAAGGCTAGGCATCTCCTGCACACCAGAGGGAAATGAAACAAGCCATCTCCACATTGGATCCTATGCTGTGATTTTTATCAGAATGCACACAAAAGCACCTGTGTGCAATCCCTGTATAAGCACAGAACTGCAGGAATTAGTTTTGCACTGCTGTTTTAAAGGAAACGGCAGGTAGCTATGATCTGATCACTCTCTCCTTGAATGACAGGCACAGGACAACCTCCCCAACTGCCCCCTTCTGCATCGAGGCACAAAGAACAGAGCAAACATACTTATAAGCATGGTTTACATGGGCCCATCCAAATCTCCCCTTGCACATTTTGGGAACTAAACTGTAATGAGAAGTTTCTCAGGTTTGTTTCTGCAGTCTTGAATTATTTAATTCTATTACATGAAAAACACAGGATTTGGGAGTCTAATTATGTGGCATCTGCACCTTTTGGACTACTCCCACTGGCACACCAAGCCCACTGAACAGGAGGACAAATGTGGGCTGGTCATCCCACTTCCCTCACCTCTCCTAAGCAACTATCACTGGAATCTCCAAACAACTAAAGGTTAGATCAGATTTATTTTTTCGATTTCCCTAAAGACCAAGATTTGTCCAAGAAGTTCTCTGGCTTTGGGGACAATTACCTTATCTAAGTGTCCTAACTGCTTCCAGTCTCAGATTAACAGACCATGTTTACTTATACACAGCACATTTAAATGAAAGGTCCCCTAAGACTCCCATCCTAAAGCTGCTCCCAAGCAAACCTGATACTATAAATGCTTCAGTATTTCCTGCTTGTAACTATGGCTAGGGAAATCAGTGCATAGACTGACTACTAACAGTATCATTATCAGCAGCTTTCAGAAACGTATCTGGCATGAAGGCTGTGCTAATGTCTTTGTCTCACATCAACATCTGTTTGAGAAAAAAAGGAGAGATCTACAAAACTGACAAAAGTAACCTGGGAATTAATTATTCTGCACGATTTCCACAGGACATCACTTTACCATAGGAGCTGAGGTTATAAAACTAAACATGTAACCAACACCATGCTGGTAGATTTCAGTTTTCTCCACTGAACAGAAAGTTGGTTTATATCTCAGATTTCTCTAACTTCCTCCTCAAAAATTTATTGTTTGATTTCTTTTACTAGGGTTTTATACATTCAATTTTCTTATCCTGGTTCTTTCTGCTCTGCAGCCTGAGGACATGGTAACGTCCACTAATATATCTGAGCTTCTTCTGAACCAGCATTTCAGTGGAGATTATTTTTATTCAAATACTCACAGACGTTTCATTTACTGGTGAAAGATAATCAAGATCAACTGCCTGTTTTCTCCCATCCAATAGAAAACAATGATACAACATCATATGTACCCCCAAAACACATATGCTGATGATCCCAAAGGACTCCTGATGATCACCTCAAAAGGTCCTCTTCTAAAGGACCACAGTTGAGACTTCCACCTGTCCATGCCCATTCAGCCTTTGCCTTTCCACTCAGTCCGCCCAAGAAGCCTCAATGATGAAGGAAATCTATGTGCATAGGATCCAAGCAGATCAGTTACTGTTAGGGTAAAGATTTTCAGCAAACAGTTGTCCCTGAACTGTGCAGTTCATGACTAAATCTCTTCTCATCTGAGTTTTAATTGAACAGAATTTAAATCCAAAGTTTAACAGATGTGCATATGTAACATTTTTGACTTGGTAACTACTCCACTGGATGCAATTTTCTTGCCAGTGCTATTCATCACCTTGCAGCCTTCCTCCAGAGGTAAGCATTTGTGAACACAGCAGGAAAGAGTCCTCTCGCAAGCAGAGACATGTTTAAGTCACAGGCACCAATGTACTAACATAATTTTGTTGTAACAACTGTTATGAAAACAAAAATCTACTCAGCATCCTTTAACAACAAAAGAAACCCCAAATACCAAATTCCTGCCTTAGAGGCAGAGAAAATGAAATCTGCCCCACCCACCCAGCACATCAAGGAAATACCCTCTGTCTTACCTGCAGTTGCAAGAAGGGGATGTTGAAGAACTTGTGCAGGTACTTGAGGCCAAAGCTGTTCTTCATGGAAGACTCAGCATAGCGAAAATACGAGGAGCCGGGAGGCCTGTCTCAATCAGAGAGGTAGAGAGAAGAAAACTGTACAAAGGACACAGACTGCATACACACAGCAGAGGCATTTACTGAATTACATACCGTGAACAATCCTCACCCACAATCCAAGCCCTCAGTCCTCAAATGTAGGCTAGCAGGTCATTCTGCTAGGGACTCGTTATTTTGTTTACAGACAAAATTCACACTTTGCTCCTCCTGAAGGGTGGTAGAATGTGGCTGTTGTGTTGCAGTGCCATGCGGCTGCCAGACGAAGAAGTACTATGTCAGGATACCGGGCCATTGGTTTACTAAACTGAGGGTTTCACAGCTGTACAAGCTGTTCATTTCTCAGTGAAGGTTTTGTTTTAAAACCACAAACAGACCTACATAGGTCACATATAGAGATGAACTTGTAAAGAAATGACTACATTATGGATCAAGCCTTAAAACTGATACCATTTCTGTGTGCCTGACACAGGCATAAACAAATAAGAGACTACGAAAATGAAAAAAATGCTTTAAGAATATAAAACCACAAAAAAACCATACAATCTATTGAGTCCTGACCAACAAATAGTATTTTATACTAAATAACAGAGCACCTCAGATCTCCACATAAGGGAAAATCTTGCCTGGCTGGCAAGGGAGGTGTGTGACTTGGCTGTGCCCAGTAAATGCTGTGTGGGGATGCTCTCAGAGGAAGAGCAAGGAAGACAGCTGCCCTAACCAGCAATCTTGTAGAATTATTTGGAGTAGAGAACAGTTGTGCTGCAGGGAGAGGATTCTTTCACAAGAGAAGGACTATCCAGAAAGAAGGTGACTTCTTGGGAAAAGTACTTCTGAAAGGCACATGCTGACAGACACTCACTGTTTCCAGGAATATAGCTACCAATCTGCCCAGAACAGACTCCTAGATCAAAGAGCTTATCCTGTAAGCTGAAGCTGCTGTATGAGACACTCAGAACTATGAAAGCCCAAAAGGTACAGGGTCAGAGGATGAACATGATGTGCATCTGAAACACGGCAGCAATGCGGTTATCTACGGTTGATGACCGAGAGCAGCTGAGGTCTGCTCCCCTGCCTGGTGATCACAGTGCCATCGTACCTGTTTAGATTGTCGATGAGGTCTCGCACATCGCCAGGCAGAATGACCCGGTGCTCCCCCATGTCTCGGTAATTCCCAAGCACGCACACTGGAACATGGGTCGGCACTTTAGGAAGCTCCCTCAGAATATAGTTAAATGTCCTTCACCATAGGAGAGAGAGATACAGGCAGATGAGTGGGAAACATCATTCTGTGAGCAGTTTCATGCACAAATCACAGAAAAAAAAAACAAAGTGAGAAACTTATTTCCAAAACCCTTCCAAGATTGTGGCTTCTTTGCCCTTGTCAGAGAAATAAATTAACTGTAAATATGTTTGTATCATTTGTTATTAAAAAAGAACGTGATAAGTTCAATAATCCACTTCCATCGGCAACTTCACATCTCCTACAGCAATATTTCCTTCAGTCCTTCAAAATGGTGTGGGGTCAGCAGAAGAAAAGGATTCCTTCCCTTCAGCTGTCAACAGGCTCACTGACCCATATCAAACCTGTAAAACACAAGCTTAAACACAGAACAGGAACTCTTACCACCCTCCTCTTTCCACTCTGGCTTCCATATGTCTCTCGCCCTCCTCAGCAGATGTGCAAAACGAACAGTTCATTATTTCTGTACATTAATGCAGCCTAGGGCCTCTAAATAATCCTTACTAATACCAGTCTTCCTGGGAATTTCTCACTAGCATTCGCCTTTCCCTTGAGTTCTCGAGCGCAGCATTTTGTAACATGCCCAGCATACTTTGCACCTGTGATAGCACTAATTATCAAGTTTCAGACAGCAGTATACCAGAAATTGCAGTACACAAGTCCACAGGGAGACTGCTTGTTTGAAACAAGCCCAGGAGAAGAGTATATTAAGAGACATGCTAGAAGATAAAGCTATTATTTTAAGGGATACAAGCTTGCTTCAACTCATTAGGCTGGTTATCAGCTCCAGGGTCCATCTGGGAATCAAGAGGTCTAGAAGTCATTTGTTTTCACTAAACAAGTTAGAATCATGTGGTGCATGCTGCTGAAGATGTCTTACCACTGTTTGGTGATGTCAAACATCATCACTACGCCATTGCAGTTTTTATAGACATCCAGGAACTCTGCATCCAGAGCCATTTCTGACTCTGCCTGAGGAAATAAAGGCAAAAGGAGGAGTAAAATTTTGATTCAACTTCAGGCTTGTTGTACAGAACATAACTGACACAGTGCTGAATAGGCAAACTTTCCAAAGTGACAGTTACTGTAAGTAGTATCTGTGGATTTCACATCATCATCATCATTTAAGCAAGATACCTGGTGGTTCACAGCCTCCCTTGCCCACAGGAGAAGGATGTGAAGCACCTGACAGTCTCTGAAAAAAAAACACCATGTCTGATGGCAAATGCTAAAACCCACCCCTGCCTCTTTCTCCTCTGTCCCCAAATCCCATGTTGACAGATAACTCCAAATAACCTACAGGATGGAGGACACAGGACACAGCTCCCATTCCATCTCTTTGCCGACCCAAATATTGACTGTACTTCTAATGCTTCTAGTGTATAAAGCCAGGATGTAGTTTCTATTGAGCTTCTCCCATGCAGGGCTGAAAGTATTTATTAGTACCTTACTTGCTTTTCATCATTTGGAATCTGCAGGCTGCAAAGTACATACTGGCCACAACCCAACTTCCAAGGCTCCTGCTGCAATTTCGTGCCTATGGAACAATGCTTGCTCATTTCCCAGGAGTGGAAAATGCATCCACGTTTGTGAAGGAAGAAGCAGCTGTGATATCTGTTCTCATAGAGGCTTTTTCCCATAGGAGAAGATTTTAAAAGAAAATTCTCCTCATCTGACCACACAGACTGAGCAGGACTGCACCCTGGTGAAAGAGGTAACTCTTCACTGCCCTGACACATCCTCAGAACTGAGTGCTCAGCTCTCTGCATATCAGTGACGCTGCCTTTCCCATCATTTTCAACAAAGTGGTTATTGAGCGAGTACCAGAACACTGCCTGTGCACTGAGCCCCAAAGGGCACTGACACACGAACAGGAGCAATAAAGCTCTTTAAGAGCTGCAGCAGAGATCATGGGATCAAGGGCCTTTAAACTGAATTTTTCCTGAGGATTAAATCATACATCTTTTGAAAGAGATGCCATGGAAGTGCACTGGCAGCCCCAATGTGGTTCAGGGAACACAGTAGTATGGTCTCCCATACAGAATTTTGTTCTACAGCAGAAGATCCAAAGGAGACACATTCATGTAAGAGTTTTGAGGAAGCCACTCTGTTTACTTTTACATGCGAGGTAGCACTTCTATTGCCCCTTCCTCCTCTATATTTCAAAGGGTGTTAAAAGGTAATTGTTAGCCCAGTTTTAAAGAGCAGCCAGCGAGCATGGCTTCAAGTGACTTCTTCAGGTCTCACAAGAAGTCCATCACAAAAGGATTCCCTGCCACTGCCCATGCGCAGACGGGTACAGACAGGTACAAAGCTACCGAGTAAATATCTGGGGTGCAGTCATTCCTAAAAGACAGAACGGAAAACAGCAGGAAAATTGTGGTGTGGGTATGAATAAGGATAAAATGCATGGGCAAAAGTGTGAAGAACATCAGGGATCACATTGCCCCTCATCCTCCTGCCAGGCCAGCCTTAAAGCAGAAACAAGTATGGAACTTACTCTCCGTGGACCAAGGGTGTACTAGAAGCCTCCCGCTAAGGGGCAGACATCTGCGTTCAAGGTGACTCACCTCCTGAGGGTCATTTTCCAGTTTCAAACCATCTCCTCGTTTTTTGCATTTTCCTTAAAAAGAATTGTAAAAAACAAAACAAAACAAAACAAAACAACACAACAAAATAAAACAAGCAAATGCATTACATTGGGCAGAGAACTCCAGAATGTGTCTGGGCAGGAGCACAGCATTTTGAACATGACATTAAAGCAGATCCAACTTCTATAAGCACAGGGAATGAGGAGGGGTGGGACAGGCATGCCTTGCTGAAGAATATCAGCTACCCTGTTCAAGAATACTAGCTAGTCTAATTCAAAGATGAATAGGAAGAAAGTCTAGGGTAGCTTAAACCATGCTCTTCACAGCATAAAATCACAACTGAATAATACAGGGTTTGGTGCACTCCTTGACCTCATAGGGAAGCTGCTTTGTTGCACTTTTCATTGCATTAGTGTTGAAGAAGCAAAAGATCGTGGGGCTACTATGACTAAACTGCACAATTACATACTCAGCCTTCCTGAGAGATGCTCTGACGTTGCTGTGCTATGTCGCTGACCTGAAGCAAGCAGCCTTGTAAATAAATGTGATCTCTGAGCCCATCGGGTGCTTTGGACTCACTTGTGATCAAAACAAAGGGGTGGCAGGAGACTATGAGAATTCAACAGCCAAAAGACAGACAGAACTTATACAAGGGGAAATTCAAGCAAAATCAAATAAACTGTGGCAAGGAGGCTGGGGAGAAGTCGAGGAGAAACAGCCTACACGTGCATGAAAGGCCAGGGCCAGAGGGTCAGGTCTGGTCATCACCAGTGAAGGTGCAGAACAGAAATCCTCCAGAAGCACCATCCAAAGCCACCCGCTCTACCAACATGCATACACAAATAAGCTAGAGGACAGGTAAAACTCTTCATTAAGCTCACAGGTAAGTGCAAGGGGCAACAGGCTAAACACTTGGGAAGACACTAGAAAACCACTATAGAGACTTGCCCTGCAGTCCCACAGCCACAGTCCCATCTGGAGGAATCTACAGGCTTCTCTCCAACTCATCTGCTTCCTCTAACACACATGCTAAAATACAGCCCTTATACTTAAAGGGCAGACTCCCTGCGACTTCTCCCTTTTCTTACAGCTTCAATAAGCACTGGATAAGTTCAAACCCTGACATTTTAAAGTACCACAGGCATTTGACTCAGCATCCCCAGAAAAGGAGTTGTGTTTTCAAACCTCAGGCTCCCTGAAAATTTTGCATTAGGTAAGTTACACTGTAATTATGTTTCCAAATCTTAAAGCCTGTAACCACAGCAGACAGAGAAGATACCGTGTATCCGTATCTAGGATTAGCAGAGTGGCAATCCGCTAACCTAATTTTCTGGTGTAGAAACTCAGGACCAAGGATTGCCAGGAGTCTCAATACGTGAGAGCGAGAACAACTTCTTTTGCCTTGTGCTAAAGAAGTTTCATGTGAACATACCATGAAAAATCTGTCCTTGCCCCCCAGGTATGGCTTAAACTCTATCTAAGTCCAACAGTTCCCAGAGTTTTATCAAATGATGAGCACTGCACAATTAATAACTCTGCAAGGTCTAGAGTTAGGTTTTACAGATATCAAATATCTTCCAGATGTTACTGACAGCAATTAAGAACTGTACTTCTGAAATAACTTTGTTCCGTATTTTCTTAGTCCAAATAATAATGAATTAACTAAATTATAATGCCAGAAACTTGGAATTCCTTCTCATAATTTCTACAAATTCCCTGTGTCACTGACAACAGAACGTGTTGGCAGCTCAGATGCATCTACAAAAAACCTCCCATTGAGTCTTTTAAAGACTCTGCAACAGTGTGGACCAAAATAGCTTTCACCAACTATTTGACTCTGCTAACGAACATGGAGTGACTGCAAAATTCATGGTTCTGCCAGATGCTGCATGTGAAACAAAGTGTTTTCATTGTCTCTACATGCAAGTCAAGGATAAATAGTTATGAAATACAGAGTTATTCATGACAGTTTTAATGCTGCAGGATACAGCAGGAGATTCCAGTCCCTACACCCTGACAGCGTGTCTGGTGTGAGCTTCTGTGCATGAGTGCAAAATGTTTGCCCTCCTCATGTCATCTTACTGTTGACATCTGAAAATAGCAGAAATATTAATCCTGATCCTTCCCCATTCATGTAATGTGTTTCCCCACAGGATCCAAGTATGAGACATGGTCTTCGAGACATGGTTTACTGGGTTTAGCAGGCATGGTGGCTTTGGGTATACGGTTGGACTTCATGATCTTTGAGGTCTCTTCCAACCATAATGATTCTATGATTCTATGAGCTCTGATTTTTCCCAGTGCAGCCGAAGGTGTGAGATGTCTAGGGCATGCATGCCTTTTCACACTTCAATTAAATTCATTTCAAGTCAGTGGCATTCGTATTGCTTCTCTGAATGACAAACCATCACTATTTCTGCAGTTATTGCTAAATTATGCTTGGCATGACCTGAATTTCCAGGTATTAAAACACAAGCCCAAGCAACCTGTCCTGGTTTCGTCTAAAACAGGACCAATTCTCCTTTCAGTAGATTTTCCTTCAGTTAAGTCTCTTCTAAGTAACTGCACTCTCTGAAGTTAGCTACATGTCTTTCAGACAGCATCTGCTTTCAGAATTGATAATGCTTCATGTTTATAGTTGTAACTAAAGTAATGGCAGGACTGGTATGCAGAAAGGGCCATGTTTATAATTATTCTTGTGGGAATCAAGGTCACTGCTGGCTCCTTATATTCCACATGTGAAAAGGCGTAAAAGGGTCGCACCTGTGGGAAGGAGCAGACAGGATGGGTGACCAAAAATTGACCAATGAAGTATTCCATCCCGTACATGCCATACTCAGGTAAAGCTAAGGGATCACGAGGGTCAGCCCTTCTTTCATGGCCAGCATTGCTGTGAGACTCTGCTTGTTCTCCTGCCTCCAATCCGTGGATTCCTGAATCTGGTTCCTGTCTGCTGCCAAGTCCCGTCTGGGACATCCCACTGCCCACCCTGCCATGTCAGCAGTGCAAGTCACTCCGGCACATGATCCCGTGATCATCATTGGGAAGCTCAATATTGGTTTTGTACATTTTTTCTTTTTTATTATTTCTATTATCAGTATCATTAGTAGTATTATACTCTTTTTTTATTGTTATTGTTTTATTAAAATTGTTTTAATTTTCCAACCCATGTCTCTCTCCCTTTTCTCCTTTCCTTCTGGGAAAGGAAAGGGTTAATAGAGAGCATCTGTCCTCCTTAAATTGTGACACAACCACAAATACTCTTCACAGTTCCACTAGTCCTGAGCAATCAAGGTGTCTTTCTAACCTCGACACATTTATAACCGATGCTTTGAGACTGAATATACAACTCGCACTCCTCTCCCTGCTTACGGCTTTATGTGTATATCAAGAGGAATGAGTAATATTCTTACATGAAGCTCATCACTGCCGTAAAGGAGGTCATCCATAAAGAAGTAACAGAGCTGAAAAGCGCATGTGTACACATATTCATGCACAGTGTCTATTTTTGGAACCAAAACTGCAGGATGAGCGAGATAAAGACAAGATGCATGTAGTGAAAAGATGCAATTCAGCTTGCAAAGGTAAGTGCACAATGAAGACTGTGTTCTTATACGAATGAGGTCCTCTGTTTAAGGTTGCACTGATGTGTAATCCAGGAGCCTCAATTAGAAAGCAAGGGTCTTCACGTTGCAATTGTTCAGCCTCTCTATCTAGAACAATGACTGCTCCTTATTTACAGGCATAATAGCAACACTGAAACCAAATAACCTTGCAGCAGTGCCCTGACGTCTACAGAATAGTTCTTAATGAACACCAGAAGACTGAGTTTGTGGTCAGCACCTGAGAGCCTCTGCACGTCTATGTACCATCAGTTTTGTTCCAGGACAGCAAGGATTCAGTACAGCTTGCCAACAAATGCTGTCAACAGTGCGAGGGAGATGCTTCTGTGCACCATTCAAAAATGCATGTCTAGAATAACTGCATCCCCAGCATTATCTAACTTCTGAGATCTGAAAAGAACAGAAATTCTAATTCTGATCTTTCCTCCTTCTTGCAACACACCTCTGGCAGGGAGAAGAAAGAAATCTCCAATATGAGTGAAAGAGTTTATGCTATTTTGGGGGCAACAGAAAAAAAATACGATTTGGTCCCTTCAGTTAGTGTATGGGAAATGATGCAGGAACCAAACTTGCAGAAGTTACAAGACAGGAGGATCAGAACTGTTCTTGAATCACCTGTATTCAAGCAGCTTCTCTGCATTCCGGATCTGTTACAGCTTTATGACTTGCAATAGTTACACAACTTGCTGCAACGCCAGGAAGATGAGTCAGGACTGTGACTTTTGTTGAGAGGTATCTTTCCCACGTTCCATTAGTTCCAAGGGCAGCAAAGGAGACGGTGTTTACTACACACACCGCACAAAATTAAATACAAGTCATAGCTGGGGGCAAGCTCTACTTGTTAAGATTTTAACAAATGGCATCATTACGCAAATCAGCCTCGCTCTCTGAGCAGGCCCAAGGAGAACACAGCAGGCTGCAGGGAAGTCCATAATTCAGTGAGTCTGCACATTAAAAAAAAAAAAAAAAGAAATCCTGAAGAGTCAAGGAAAAGGGTAAGAGGATCAGTACAGTGTAGCGGTTGCCATTTCCCCCTGCTTCAGCGCACTAACCAACCTCACAGGTTTTAAGCTTCCACAACAAATCTCCCCACACTTCTAGATGCTAAACAAGTGACAGCAAGACACCAGCCAGGCAGGGCCAACAGAGCTGCATCCTGCATCCCTAAAACAGTCTGGAGGGAAAAAAATCAAAGTGCATTGCTGAAGTATCAAGGACAAGAAGGCACACTGCTGGTAAGCACAAGGAGAAACACCGCTTAGTAAAACCACATTTAACTTCAGTGCAAAAATATACATGAAGTTTTTCAGTGTGCAACTTATTAAGTTTCCCCAAATCTTCCTGTGCACGTTCACACTGAGACATGAAGAATGGTGGCACAGCACAGCAGAGAAGAGGCCGAAGCTGCTTTACAAGACTGAAGCTGAAAACTGCAGTTTATGGCTACATCTTTTAGACAGTCTAGCTACATTCCCACATCAGGCTTTCAGTACATTTTCAAATACCTTAATTTAAAGAGAGGTCTCTTAATTTTCTCTAACAAGGAACAAATCTTTCAAAATGGGGAAACATTGGCAAAAAAATCTAGCCTGGAAAACAATGTATGTTGAAATGCGTGTTCAGAACGTGCATTTTTTGGCAGTTTCAAATCCAGCCTGATAAATGCAGCATTCTGCACAACTCTAAATAGGCACATTAGCAAGGATCTGGTAGGCAAGGAAAAAAAGGAGGATCAGGTCTTGTCAGCACTATGCTGCAGCAGCACTGGCTACTTCACTACTAAAAGTCTACAGTCTAGATTAGTGTCGCTCTCACCAAAAGCATCACGCAGGAGAATTTTTTGTCCTAATACAGAAGGAAGAACAAAAATGTCATGAGATAACATTAAGATGAAAGTTAGATATGAGCAAGCTCTTAAAGGCTAATTTGCACATTTTCCTTAAGTTTACTTATGAAGAATCTGCAATGCTACGGCAATAGGAAAGGATTTGATTTTGTTACATCATCATGATCTGAATTTTACACTGCATTGATTAAGTACATTTGATTACATAAAAATACCTATCTGTGGTCCATAGGTAGGGATCTTAACAGAGTAAGTTTTATTTCAAAAGAATATAAAGTGGAGAGAAGAGAGTCCCTTGAGATTTCCAACACATGCTCCGCTGTCAGAAATGAAAGCAGTATCAGAAGAGCTGTTATCAACATCTGCACATATCAAATCCAATCTGTTTTGCCAAAAAAATGACAAGTCTCTAGCTGAGAAGATGACTCTGCTCAGAGAAGCTATTCATGGAAATAAATGCTGGAACCACACAATTCCCAAATTAATTGTCTATCTATTCATACCAAAGTTGCAAGGCAGCGAGAAAACAGATGTTTTGCTCAGATTCCAGCTCTGCACATGTTATCCCAGGATCTGAAAGCCAAACTGTAATCAGACTGACTTCAGCAGTAACTCTGACCTAAGTAAGGTTTTGTCTACACTGTGAAAACTAGGGTTTAAAAGAACAAAAAGATAAAGTGCCCAGGATTTTAATTTAAAGTTACTGGCTGAAGTTTAACTTAAAGGCTCCACTATGCATCTGAACTAGAGCTGCTATCTTTAATTACCTTTTCTCTTTTACTATTTTAAATATAATTTAGCTAACATGAAAATTTAAATTTCTCCCTTTCCCACTCTCTGTTGTACCTATCTTCTTATTTTTCGGTGTTAACACATGTCTAAGTTGCACAGGTGGTACAGCAGAGATAGTGCACCTTGGATGCAGTCTTGCTGAGGAATGCATGACAGCACAGATTCTAGCTAAGGCTGCAGGAAAGTCAGCAGCAGCCAAACCATAAAAATTTAACTTTCAATGACTGTAGTCAACAGAATTGACCGACAGAAACACATAAACAAGGAGCATAACCCACAGAGCAAAAGATGCTCACTTGTAGAGCTGCTTTCCTGACCATACTCACACTTTAAACCAGAAGCCTGGTTAAACACTTGCACCTTAAACCAGGAGGCTGATACAAAACGCCTCTTAAAAGCCAAACAATATCTGCATTTGGGGCTACAGAATGGGCTGTTAAGATTTACATCTGAACCCCAACCCATTCTAGCAACAGACTCCACTGCATCCAGATTTGCACTCCATCCAGATCGTGTCTTCATATATATTTTTGAAGTTTGTTTTTATTTTTTATAAAATGGAAGTTTATACTCTGACAAAAACTGAAAACTAATGGAAAATGTATTTATACATCACAAGACTTTCCTTGGCTAAGCATTTAGAAAAGATTTCAGATTAAATATATTGCATTGTCTGTCCTAAGTGAATTTAAGTAATTGGTTTCTCTTTTATCCTTTCCTTCTGCACACGTTATTCACTGCAGATAACACTATCAATTTAACAATAGCATTCCTTCACAAAAACAACTCAGTAAGATTATAAACAGAACAAAGAACTCGGTAGCTGTCTAAGCATATATAAAACTATAAAGGGGAGAAGATGAAGTTTATAATAAAATCCAGAGAATCTGAATATACTAAGCAGCAGGCTATTTCATCTGTCATGCAGCACATGAAACAACTGCTTCTGAATATTGGGTTTGATCTGAAGTTCAGATTGCAAATAATGGGCTCTAGCACAGGAGACTCCTCTCTCCTTTCCATATTTTTTCAGGAAGTAACATCCATGCACTTGAAAAAAATAAGTACAGACATTTTTCTAAAGTAGAAGTAAGCAGGCATTTCTGAATTCCACCTAAGTTTTTACTTAAAATTGAGAAAGAACAATGAATCTCCATTAGAAAGGAAATTATAAATCTTACCTTTGTCAACTACATCCCAGACTTCAACTTTAACAATGTCGTCAGTGGCTAAAAGCACAACAAGAACACAAAGTGTTAGAAGAGGGTTTCAGTAAAACGACCAACACTCAACGCTCACCACAGAGAACCTAACCCAAAGCCAACATTGTCAAAGTAGCAGATGAATGTCAAAAGAAAAGTAATTCTTGAGTGAGTTAAAAGAAAATCCAAACATAACAAGAAGGTGGCCTGCTGCCGAAGGTCCAAGTTGTACACCAGAACTATGGTATCTAAAGAACTTCTTAAAGACTCTTAGTCACATAAGTGATAGCTAGATTTCCTTGATGTTTTATGTCAGATTTGAAGGATGTTATAAATATTTTGTGTAGATACTTTTCATAACATAAAGAGGTTTCCATATTCTTATAAAAATATATAAATTTAATTTGGAGTATAAAGTCTGGTCTATAAGCAAGGCGTACAACTGAAAAAAAAAGGAATACATTTAAGGAAGATCAACCTTACTAATAGCACTTTCATGTAAATGTCACAAACAGTGCAGACAGTCCTGCGGCTACAGAAATCTATTCTCTCTGCAAATTTGAAGTCGCATTTTGTGAAAAATAAGATATTACTAGCAAATTTGCCTCTCAACAAGCTGCATCATCAGTAAGCTATAAGCAGCAACATATATTTGAGTTGCTAAAATCTGAAGCAAGACAAGCAAAATTCTAATTACAGAGAAACCACGGCTGGTACTGATAGCTAGCAGCTTAACCTTCAGAGGGCACGAGGGATGGGCAGTTTTGGTTAGATGTTTCTATTGCATCTAAATAAGCAGTCCCATCTTCATGAAGTTGTTCCAAGAAACAGTTGCTTTTTGGAAATGCCATAGGCTACAAAGCAAAAGCTTGTACTTTTAGCAGCTCTGAACACACAGCAATGGAACAGGAGGATAATGTCTCAGAGTAAAAAATAATCTCATAGGATGGCATGAGAATTTAGCTAAGTGTCACTGTCAAGCCAGGAAATATTTCCTCTACAGAATTCACTGTTGGCTTAACTTGAATGTTTCAAAACATTGTAAAGACAGATTATGAAAAAAGGAAAACTTTGATCCTCTGCTTCTGGAGAAAGATCCTTTTTTACATTTATGCATGAAGCAAAATCAACCTCTGTTTTTCCTCATAGCAACTCCTGCTTATCTTCCACTTTGCCAGTAAAGCAGCAGGCCACAAGACAAGCAGGAGACTTGCCCAGGCTCAGCTCAGCCAGTGCGTCACAGGCTCAGATGGGACTGAAAACATAACAGGCACACAGCAGCCTGCAGTACTAAAACCTCTGCTCAAATCATTACACTCTCCAAATTAATTCTGTCCCTGAGTATTTCTACAGACCATCGAGCCAGGTATGGCTAAAGTCCAACCACTCCCCATTACTCCCTCGCCTGGCACCCAGCTGTACGGCTGGCTACTCACACCCAGGCACTGGCACAGCAGGGTGCTCTCCCTGTGACGTGGGCTGCTCGAGTCCATGGTCCATTCAGGGTGTGCCAGGGCCCCGCAGGTGCTGGGACACAGATCAGCTAAGGAATGTCTGCCTCCCAATTCATACCTTGCAGCTGGGACTGGCAGTGCTGCTGCTGTCCCTGAAGGACAAGGGGACAGACAGACCAGCAAAGTCAATCCTGGCACCTTTCAACAGTCAAGACTTTCTGTAAAACGACAAGAGACATTTTTCTTTCTCAAATGGTAAACTTTGCAGGGGCCCAGGAGTCGTCCAGAGCTTGTTCTTTCCAGCAGCTCCACCTGAAGCAGCACATAAGCACATTAACAAGGGGCTTCCACAGAGAAGCTGGAACCCCATTTCAGAAAAGTAAGCCCTTGGGGTGACATGCAGTGCTCTCCTAGGAGGTGACTCGGTACCCAGCATTGGGACTTTGCTCCCAAGCTCCAGAGGTCTCCACTTCCTTACCCTAACACCAAATGCACCCTCAGTTAAGACTTGTTCTCCTGCTGAGAAATTTCCACAGTACTGACATCCTGCTGAGCAGCAGCACTCCCAGACAGCTGAGGAGTTGAGCCGTTTGACCCAGAAAGACCTGCTCTACAACCTTTTATCTGAGGGGAAGCACAAAATTTCACAAAGAAACTGACTGCACGAGGTCCAAGAAAACCATTTTTCCATGTGAGTGTTTCTCCTGTTAGTACCAGTGCTCCTCTAGCTTGTAGCCACCAAGTTCTTCCTTTTCACCACCAGCTTCATTCCTGATTATCCTGAACACAAAAGAGGATAATTACTTTAGTGCTGCTGTGTTGGCTTTGGTATGACTCATACACAGCACCATTTCACCTTAACTTCGCAGCAAAAGGAGTGCCAATTCATCCTTTTAACTCTATAATTTGGATTAGCGTAAACCATGGATCAAATCACTCAAAAAAACCTCTACTCAGTTGCTATCTGGCTAACTCCTCTGTAGCCAGAGGCACACTAAGACATTGCTTTCCCAGAAAACGGTGGAGAGATGCGAGAAGACTCCAACTGCAAGAAAGCTCATTTAAAAATAAGAATCATTGCTTTATGGGTGGGTTCATCACCAGGAATTCACAGGCCCTCAGACACGCTTACTCTCATGCAACTACACCATTCACTTCATACGCTTTGGATCACAAATCTTACAGCACAGAGCAGCTCTGCGATTCCTCACACCCATCTATAAAGCACTCAAAGTATTTGAACAAAAGTATTTGCCAATTTATATTTCAGACTTCCTTTCTGAGACTGCCAAACAGAGAATAAAATTGGTGACTAGCATAATCTAAAAAAGCATACATTAGGGTCAGGAATGGTAACTCCTTACTTGGACACAAAAATTACAAAATCCATTACAGAGACAACTGCCACAGAAAAGTAATTTTGTTCATTCTGAGTAGGAAGAAATAACTCAAATTCCTCTACCTTTATTAATTCCTCCAGTATAAAATTTCTGATGATATGACAAGGTGGTACATTCCACATCTAAAATGTAAATCTTCTAATACCAGGCAATGTAAGAATCCTTCAATATTTGACAGCGATTTAATTAATATTCGTAAATATTTGCTGCCAGCTACCTCATAATGTTTATTCAAGGTAGCTTGAGAGCATGACCACAGGAAAACAAACTTTATTTTTTCTCTACAGATTAACTCAGCCAACAGGGTGGTAATTAGATCTGAGCCAATTTCTCAGATTGCCCACATCACCCATCTCAGATGGAAAGTTTTCACAGCAGGAAACATATCTTACAATGTTTTTTAAAAAGGGGGTTATTTTTTAAAACAAGTTTTTAAAAGGTCAATGGAGAATTTCCTGTACTGCTGGAAAATATTACTAAGAAAATAATAGTGTTTTACAATGTAAAAGAAACACAAATGAAAGGCACAATTTCATGTATAGCCTTCCAGATATTTAGACTAGTTCAGCAACACTTCACCTTGAGAAAAGTCCATCACCATATGCACACACTGCTGTCAACTCTAACCAGCAAGCTCTATGGAAACGTATCACATAAATGTCAGAACTAAGCACTAGAAATAACAAATACACCTGCGGTTACCAATGTACAGCAAAAGCCAGCTTCATATGTAGCTGTTTTCTACCTCCGGATTGCATTCATGCTGAAAAAGCCAGTGCCTAAGCCTCAGCTCAGTAAAAGAACATACAGTCCCTAAAACATGCAGAAACACGCAAGATGACTGGATCTTTCTATGCATGGAACAGTTTCCAAACACCTTTTTACATGTACACAAAAACCTGTATACCTGTTCATGTATACAAAAACAATTAGGTATGAATAAGCCTCTTAGAAATCAAATGCCAAACTCCCAGGCTGTATTTACAAACAGCACTTGTATTACCTACCCTGATTAAAGAAATTGAACTCTGAAGTTTTTACCTATGATATTGCAGAAAACCACAGTTAACATTCAGTGCGCTCTTTAGACTTGGATATCTAAGAAAGAGGTCTTTCCTTTCTTACTCTGATCTAAGTCTGTTTAGGCTGAAGTATTCACGTTTGAGTTTGGAGACCGTTTCCATCATCCAAACAACTTGTAAGCTCTATTTTCACACATCAATAACCGATGTCCTGATATTC